CTGTATTAAGGGATCGCGGCATTAGGAAGGTTGAGAACCACAGATCAAACAGGATCACAAGTAGAGTCCTTACATCATTTGACATGACTTTTTTAACTCAACTGATTTTCCTATAAGTTCTGAATTGCAGTCTTCCTAGTCCGCAGCCTAGGTTTATTGACAATGCAGATTCATTCTTCTCCTTTTGTTTGGATAGACACAAACACTACTTCCAACCAATCTCTCCTATGAAATGTAAGTTATTATCCAGTTAAACATTTTAAACAGGTTTATTATAGATGTACTCTTCCTCTGTATGTTACCATAATGAGGCAACTACTGTGTGTTTTTCTAATACACCCAATTTCTTTAAAGATGTCTGCAGGTGTATATGAAATACTCGTGAGAAATCTCAAAATTAAATAATTAAGTGAACAAGAGACACTTCAATTGTTGTTGTTCATTCGTTCAGTCGTCTCTGACTCTTCGTGACCTCATGGACCAGCCCACGCCAGAGCTCCCTGTCGGCCGTCACCACCCCCAGCTCCTTCAAGGTCAGTCCAGTCACTTCAAGGATGCCATCCATCCATCTTCAATTATTTAACCTCAAATGTATAATATCACAAAGGACTACCACCTCACCCGCCTCATAGGAAACCTGCTACAAAACAGAAGTTTTTTCTTGAGTTCCAGGGCCAGAGAAGCAGATGGTGGAAACAGAAGAATGGCCTGCCCCAAGGGAGCGTGCTTGCTCTATCCATGTTCAACATTTACACAAATGACCAGCCACTGCCAGAAGGGACAGAGAGTTTCATCTATGCAGATGAACGTGCCATTAACGCCTAAGCAGGGAGCTTTGAGATAGTTGAACAGAAGCTCCGAAGCTCTAGGTACTCTTATTGCCTATTACAGGGAAAACCAGCTGATCCCTAATCCATCTAAAACACAGGCATGTGCTTTTCACCTCAAGAACAGACAAGCATTCCGAGCTCTGAGGATTACCTGGGAAGGAATCCCACTGGAGCATTGCAGCACACCCAAATATCTGGGAGTCACTCTGGACCGTGCCCTGACCTACAAGAAGAGCTGCCTGAATATCAAGCAAAAAGTGGGTGCTAGAAATAATATCATTCGAAAGCTGACTGGCACAACCTGGGGATCACAACCAGACACTGTGAAGACATCTGCCCTTGTGCTATGCTACTCTGTTGCTGAGTATGCATGCCCAGTGTGGAACACATCTCACCACACTAAAACAGTAGATGTGGCTCTTAATGAAACATTCCGCATTATCACGGGGTGTCTGCGCCCTACACCACTGGAGAAATTACACTGTTTAGCCGGTATTGCACCACATAACATCCGCCGGGAAGTAGCAACCAATAGTGAAAGGACCAAGGCAATGACATCTCCAGCTCATCCCCTGTTTAGATATCAGCCAGCATGTCAACGACTTAAATCAAGAAATAGCTTTCTAAGATCTACATGGACTCTCACTGGAACACCTCAGCAAGTGAGAGTCGCAAAGTGGCAGGCTCAAACCCAGAACCTCAATGAATGGCTGATACCAAGTGAGAGACTCCCCCCTGGGCACACAGAAAACTGGGCAACTTGGAAGGCGCTGAACAGACTGCGCTCTGGCACCACAAGATGCAGAGCCAACCTCAAGAAATGGGGCTACAAAGTGGAATCCACGACATGCGAGTGTGGAGAAGAGCAAACTACAGACCACCTGCTGCAATGCAACCTGAGCCCTGTCACATGCACAATGGAGGACCTTCTTGCAGCAACATCAGAGGCACTCCAAGTGGCCAGCTACTGGTCAAAGGACATTAAATCTACCACCAAGCTTGCAAACTTTGTGTTTTGTTTGTTTGTTTGTTAAAAAATGCAATGCAACTGTTTGGTCTGCCCCTGACACGATAAATAAATACCTCATAATATTTGTTTCCTTTAAAAAGTGTGTCACTGATTTCCATCCAATAAATTTAACAATTCATTTTGACAATACATATCAGTATGACCAAGCATCAGCATCATTAAAGCAAGTAGTTGATGCTAGCATGCTTAGTATTTTTTTTCTTTCATGGTAAGCATAATCCACCCAGTGTAGCAATGCAAAAAAACTCTGGTCAATGTATGGCATCCGTACAATTTGTTGTGACATCACACAGCAAAAGCAGATGCTTCTTTGTTGCTATAGTAAACTGAAGTAGTGCATATTTCTTCCAGATTCTCTCATGTAACAAAAAGTTCAACATTTATTAACTAATCCAGAATAAATAAATAGAGTATGGTTCTTCAGACTGCTTTATGAATCTGGAAGACTATTCGAAGTTTAAAGTAACAAGAATCTAACCAATACAGCTGGACCATTTTTTCTTAGTTTTTAAAAAAGAAAAATAGATTTTCTGAAAGACAATTAACTTACCTTGAGTATAAGCATAGTCATCAGATCCAGAACTGGAACTCCTCTGGTACTTATGGCTTCCTCTTTCACCTCCAGATCCTGGTACAACCGAAATGGGCTGAATAGGTTCTGGTGCTGCAGAACGCTCTTCTTGGTCCACTAAATTTAAAAGGTTCTCAGCTGGTGCACGGCCTACAGTGATTTTAAAAACTGCTGGATTTGGCTGAGATACCATGACTCGGGGGGACTGTGTAAGTACACCTGGAGATCCAGTTGGCTGTGTGTACGTTATATATACAGGATTAACACTATAGGGAGGTTTTGGTTGGCCTGACATACTTCTGGAAGGAGAACTGGAAGGAGGCGTACCAGGTGCATACAGTGGATGCTGATTCCTTTGGGACGGTTGGCTACCTATAGGTGAAGGGCTCCTATTCATTGCAGTCCCAGGTCTTTGTGGTGGCTCAACCGTAATTTCTATCTTGTTCATTGAGCCTTTAGATAAACTAGGTCCGCCATATGGGAGATAAGATACTGAGTGTCCACCTGGCTTTTGATAAGTTTGGGGGGTTTGTTGATATGGATGGGGTAGAACAGCTGAAGGACTGGGAGGCATAAACACATGGGAACTCTGATGGCCTAGTTGGGTCGGCTGAACTTGATGCTGAGGTGAGCCAAAAGGGGAAGGACATTGAGAAGTAGGTGGCGATCGAAAAGGGGACTGAGGAATCTGGGGCTGTTTTGGCGAATACTGAGACGGCTGATAATTCTGTTGGTGTGGGTAGACAGGTAGTGGATGCGGACTGTAATGTGGAACTGGACCTTGTGGCGATGAATGATGCCACTGTGCACTTTGAGTCGGAGTCTGTCGGCCTGATGAACTTTGAGACGTCTGTCTTATGTAGAGAGAGCCAGGATTCCCATAAGGATTGCTTGGAATTGGGGGAAGAATTTGTAAAGCTCTGGGTACAGTCTGTCCAGAAGGGAGGTTTTGGGACACTGTAACAGTTATAGGATTTGTGCTGTACCGAGGTATGTGCATATATGTAGGAGGAGGAGGAGGGCCTTGCATAGCAGATGTACTCATTCCAGGTTGCATGGAAGAAGGTTGCTGAGGTGGTTGTGGAGGAGGTGTAGCTGCATTTCTATTCTGGTCATTCATAAAAAATGGATTGTAGTTGGGAGAAGCTGCCACAACGGCTGGAGCAGAATGTGGTTCTTGCACTAAACATATTAGCTGTTTACCTCCTGTGCGTTGTGGATCAATATGTCCATCACTTGAACTGTGTACCAGTGTACGGCCACCGTTAAGTTGAGCTCCATCCCCTCCATGATAACTGGCATGAGGATGAATGCCTAGGTTAATATGCAGTAGGCGGTTCTTGTTCATTCGGGTGTCATCTGGGCTATGGTACTCCATATACAGGTATTTGTTACTCTCTTGTGCAAGAACTCGACAACAAGCATCAAGATTGTTGTTATTCTAGAAATAAAAAAATAGCAAGTTAAGTGTTTTAAGTTATGTAAATGACTCCCAAAATCTTCACTGTAAAATATGTACCTATACATCAAGCTCCTAACAGTTGAGTATTAAGAAGTATTAGGTTGAAGCATACTACAGTTAAAGGCTCTAACAAGTTACTTTTTTCAAAGCTTTTTAAATATCCTCTCATTTTCTTTCTTATCCTCTGTCTATATGGAAGCTTTTAGCAGCACCAGCATCGGGAGAATGGTGAAGGGTGGCTGGAGAAATGTAAGATTTTCAATAACAGGTTGCAGCAATGTGTTTGCCAACTGAGTAACATGAGTTAGGAAAGAATGGGATTCTACTCTAGGTGATCCTACTGTAGCTGTGTGAGCCAGGCAAGGTAAGGAGCAGCTGCCTCCTGAAACCCTTCCTGAAAATGTAAGGGTCTCCCCGCTAGAAGCCTGCCAAAGAAGATAATTTGATTGGATAATCTGGCCCCATTATAAAGAAATAATAAAAAAGAAGGTGAAGAAATAATTCTAAAAACAAAACAGGAAATAAAAAATTCATATCCAAACATGACCTGGTTTCAATACAGACAGATTCAAGAACATTTTATCAAAGATAAAAAAATAGGATTTATGATAGAAGAAAACAGCTGGGATAGAATAATGAGGACAGAAAAGAAAACAATATCGATAATATATTAAAAATTACTGATATGGAGCACAGAAGAAGAAGGAATTAAAGAGTGTATGATAAAATGGGCAAAGAATATTGGAAGATCTATAGGATTAGATGAATGGGAGATCATATGGAATAACAAATTGAAATATACGCGTGCCTATGATCTAAAAGAAAATTGGACAAAAATGTTCTATAGATGGCACATGACACCACATAAATTAGGGAGGTACTATAAGAATATAAACTCAAAATGCGGGAAATGTGGAGAAGTAGAAGGAACCTTCTATAATATGTCGTGGCAGTGCAAGAAAGCAAAAAGCTACTGGAAAGTAATATATGAAAATCTACAAAAAATATTGAAGATTAATATACCACTCAAACCCAAAATATTTCTACTGGGAATTTCAGACCAAAAAATTGAGAGTAATATAGACAAACTTTTATTCCTTTCCACAACCGCTGCTAGAATTTGTTATGCGAGATTATGGCGAAAAAAAGAAATACCCACAACTGATGACTGGAAAAGGAAAATTATGGATGTAAGAAACATGGACAGGCTAAGCAATCTATTACAAAAATATAAAGGGATAATAGAAAAAAAGACAGACTGAACATTGATAAATGATTAAACCCTAAGAAATAAAAAGTAGGATATGAATAATTACAGAACCGCCCCATAAATTCCAAACATAAGGGGGAAAAAACGATAGAGAAAAGGTAGGAAAATCCACAAAAGAAGGAAAAGGAAGATACCCTCCTCGAAGTTTCCCGGAAGTCGGTCCGAAGAAAAAGAGAACTGTAGTTTTTTAGTTTGTGTTTTGTTTGTTTGTTGTTGTTTTTTAATTTTATTTTCAGCTTGTATTTCCCTATTTTTTTTCTCTTTTCTTCTCTTTCTTCTAGTTTTCTGCTCTCTTTTCCTCTCTTCTTCTACTTTGAATTTCTATCTTTTTTGGATTTTAAATCTTGCAACAAATCTTTTTTTTAAATTACTATGTATTATGAAAACATTAAATAAAGATTATATTTTAAAAATGAAAATGTGTGAATGGCATAACAGAGGGAGAGAAAAGAGAAAGCAGATTAGCTTGCCTTGTCACTTATCCCAACATGTTCCTTAAGCGCTGTTTCACTGTTTCATTCGACATGTGCATTATTCATTCTAAATAAAGCTTGCTGAAAATTACTTGTTCTTGCCTTTAAGGCCCTAAACAGCTTAGGTCCAGACTGTTTGACAAACCGCATCTCCCTCAATAGATCAACTCGGACACTGTGATCATCAGAGGAGGTCTTCCTCTCAGTTCCACCCCCGTCCCAAGCACGGCTGGTGGGAACGAGAGAAAGGGCCTTCTCCGTGGCTGTCCCCTACCTCTGGAACTCCCTTCCAAAGGAGTTATTATTATTATTATTATTATTATTATTATTATTTTTATTTATTTATTTGACTTGTATACCGCTACTCCCAATTTGGCTCGGAGCGGTTTACAGCAGTAGATTAAAACAATACAATTTACTTTAAAATACAATAAAAACAAGAACAGACATAGTTCCGAGTTATTCAGTTAAAGATGGCCCCTCCCTCCCCACTTTCAAGAAACAGCTGAAGACATACCTTTGCTCACTAGCTTATGAGGAGGAGGAATAGTAGTTGGTAATACTACCATTATACCTCTGATTAATAGTTGCCATCTGTATGCATGCCCTGCTCACCCCACCAGCTCAATAGATATATTGAGCAATGATTAATCGATTTGCCCCAAAGAAATGGGAAATTATTGTTTCCATTCAATGTTTGATGTTTTGTCTTATGTCTGTTATAACAGGCTGTGTTTTTTATTTACTTTTTGTTTGTTAAGATATAATTCGTTTTTATATGTTGGGTTGTTTAAATTTTGTTAGCATGGATGTACTGTTGTTGTATTCAGGCATTCAATGTTTGCCTTTTATGTTTGGAATCCACCCTGAGTCACTTCGGGGAGATAGAGCAGAATATAAAGAAAGTTTAATTATTATTTTATTTTCTGTTGCATGAAAACCTATTCCTATTTTTCCCATGGTATTTCTGTCTTTGGTACCAACTTTTTTCATAAAGAAGAAATGCTTATGAACACCACTATTTCATTTACTAAGATATGCTTGTGTCATATTTCAGCAAGAGCTGTCACCAGATTTAAAAAGCCTTGGTTGATCTCATTGGGTAAAACTGCATTAATTTGCATCTGAATAGAAGGGATATGACATCTGTCCAGATGATAAATACTCATATCATAAGAGGCTTAATCTTAAAAGAGCTTTCCTATCAGAAAAATACAATAGCGTCATACGCGTTTTCATTGTTCTACTCACAGGCATTTATCTCGTTTGCATGTGCAGAATAACAGCAAGCTGAAGGTTTTAATCTACAGTTTCACAATGTTTAATATTTACTTCATCAGTAGTTCACTTTTATTTGTTTTAACACGTCAGTAAAAAAATTATGTGCAATGTTTTCAGAAGCCAGTGGAAAACTTAAGAAATTTCTATTATTAAGTAAATCTGGTGTTTTTTGGTACAAAGGCAGGTTTTTTATTCAACTAAGCATATACGATCATTTTAATTCTACTAACTGGTATTTATAGAATCTGGAAGATTCTGGAATAATTTATAGAGCTGGAAAATATCACAAGGGGTATCCACTCCAATCACCTATCATTCAGGAATACAGTCAAAGCTCTCGCATTCAGTCTTTGTTTTAAAAGACTTCAGAGAAGAAAACTCCACCACAGTATATGGCACCACACTACGAAGCAGCATATTTTCAGAAGTATTGATCCTTGAAAATTAAAGTTTGAGTTTTAAAGAAATGGCAATCTAAAATGAAGTGCAGTCATAAGATGCTTACAGTAATGGTCTTAGAGTAAATATTCATTTTAATTCTCACTCTCGGACGCCTACAAAAAAAGTCTTTATTTTTCAGAAACAAAAAGGAAAAGGTTATGGTCTAATTTTACCAGATTGTTAAATTTTGGATTTGAACTTTTTCAAAAGAAATCATTACTGTTTCTCTTGACACTTACCTGGAGCATGCACTGAGATACCACGCCTTCTGGAATCTCAGGGAAACGTTGCCGTAGGTCATGGAGTACTTGCATATCAAGCTGCAGGCTGCCCTGCGCCATGCCTGATGGATGTTATGTCTTCAAGACACTCAGGAAATAGCAATCAACAGACTTCCCAGTGGTTCTGATCTTCAAGCATTTTCTGTAAGTATAAAGACAGCCGAATGAAGCCATCACTGAATGTAATTCTAGCACACACACCCCTGAACACCAATACCACCTGAATAATAAACAATACATTACCATCTACAGTTCATTCAGTACAACAATGAAACCGACATCACACTAAAAAGCTTCCCTGAATCTGATGGCCTCAGATATTTATAAGCTTTAATAAGCATGGCTGGAAAAATATATTGGGCACTGTAGTCAAAAAGATTTTGATCATTCTAAGCTGGAAATAAAAGTTTAATGTTTGGGATAAGAAGTGTTTAGATTTCAGATTTTTGTTTAAAAGCTTGGAATATCTGAGGTATTTTGGAGATAGAACTCAAATCTAAACACAAAATTCAGAATCTACTCCTGAAGAAAGGCATCTCATGCCAGTCTTGAAAAGTTCTACCCTGTGTCCTATCTTACGTTTTTTCAGGCAAAAATAACTTTGGACTTGAATTGTTCCATTAAAAAGCAGGGGAAAATCTAGTCAATCATACTCCTAGCACAACTTCATAAAACCAAAGGTGTAGATCTCTTTTCTTGGTCAGTTCCTTAATCCTGATGATATCTCTGCTCTGGGCCACTATTTCAGAACTGAATTTAGTGGACCTGAAGATTCCAGTAAATAAATAAATAACTATATAAAAATCTTCATAATCCTAAAATCTCTTCCACGGGGTATGTTTGAATGAAAATCAATTAATGGACAATTTTATGCCAAATACTACCTTGTGGGATTATTGTCCCAGCTAACTTGCAGTTTATTAAATCAAGCCACACTATGATGAATGTCAAATGCAAACTGTTTTTCATCAACACAGGGTGTCCCCACATCTGACTTCCAAATGGCCCATAGTTAAGAATGGGGGTGAAACAGGAAGTGAGAGAAATCTATCCCTCAAGACTCCTGAAAGAGTTATCATGGGATAAAGGTATCTCCACTGAAGCTTTATCATGAATCCTTGTTTCCACAAGTCAAAATTTTCAAAACTGAATTATCACAGGGAAGAAAGTGAGGTGAAACCTTCCAAATAGGGGCACAGAAAGCAAAATAAACACCACAGGGTTGCTAACTGTTATGCTATCCAAAGTTCTCTCTCTCTCTCTCTCTCTCTCTACACACACACACACACACATATATATACACACAGAGAGAGAGAGTTACACATAAAGATGTACCTGATCCGGCGTACATACAAATTCAACTTACGAACAAACCTATCTTGTTCATAAAAAGGGGACTGCATGTACAGAATAATGCAAAATCACAAATAAAATATCAGAAGAAACTGCTAGTCTAAAAACCAACATACTATCAATCTGGCATCCAGAATGGTCCCTCCACATGAAATTCTGATAAACAGGATTGGAGGAGGAAAAACTATGGCTTTCAGTACTAAGATGCATCAGTAGTTTCACTTTCACATAAAGCATTATTGTAACAAATTGCACAAAGGTAACCATATTAGTCTACTTTAGCAATAACTATCAAGAGTCTTGTTGCAGCATAATGACAAGCATGTTTTATTTGACTTCTTTCAGCAGTCCATGAACTTTTATGCCAAATAAATGTGTCTTTGAGGTGCCACAAGTCTCACTTTTTACTCTTATAGATGCTTATTAACAGCCAAAAGGCAATGTTGCTTGTATACCCACCTGGGTAGAAACAGAATTGCTTGCACATGTACAAGAAGGGTGGATACCTTTTTGCTAGCAGCTGACTTTGTCTCTACAAAGATTTGCTGTGCAATCAAGTTGCACAATTTTTGCACACAGACATAGAAGTTTGCTGCCAAGTTTGGCCAGCCTTGCTGCCATGTGTTTGGGATCTATGGCAGTTTCCTACTTTCCCAATAAAGCAGTTCTATTTCTCATTATAATTCCTGCTCTGGGTGGTAGTAGCTGAAACATGTTTCTGTAGTCAGGTGAATGTTCCTATCTTCAGTTCCATAAGAGCAGTAACCCCCAACAGTCTTTGCTTTCCCTGTCCCATTTTCTGCATGGGTGTGTAGAGAAGTGTTTATTATAACTGTGTTTTAAACTGTGTTTATGCTTTACATTGTAGCCATGACCTAGCTGAGAGAGATAGGTTGCCATGGTGATAGGCCAGAGGAGGTGGGCGGAGCTTAAGTAGGAAAGGTTTGAAAACGACAGTTTAAAATCAGTCAGGCGGATGAGACCCTGAAGGACAGAGTCAAAGGGGACTCTGGGATAATAGTTCAGTCAGGGGAATGAAACCCTGAGGGGCAGAGTCAGTTGAGGCTCTGTGGTATAGTGTAAATTCAGCCAGTTCTTAGGATTTGTGAATATTATTCCAGCTAGGAAGCTGGAGGTGAAACCTCGTTAGATTGCTTGAGTAAAGAAAGAATCTAACAAGAAAGAGGTTTAGGGATCCCAGTGGTGAATGGCTGGAGATCGCTAGTTTGATCCTGTGTAGGACAAACAGTTGTAAATATTCACAATAGGGAACTGAAATATTAAAGCACCTCATTGTAGAAGAAGTCAAAGAATTGTAACATCACCTGAATGTATCTCAACTAAGCCATATTTGTAACCATCAAGCTTGTGCCAAGTTCAACAGTTAATATTGCAACAGTTACGCTCCGACAATAAATCTGTTCTCTTTGTGTTTTAAAACCTGCCTCATCCATTGATTTCAACGTTTTGCACAATCCACACTACCAAAGTGGCCTCACAACCCAGATAAGAAGAAACAGAGATTATATTACCAATATCTCTTTATATTAGGGTGGCAGCTTAAACTAGAAGTCTCAAATTCTCATTACATTGGTGTGGTGATCCTATTTAGTTGGGATTTCACGCCATTATTTTATTTTTGGAGACTACTTCACATATTTTGGTGGCAGCAAGTGAACGGCTTCGAATTGTAGTAACGAGCGGTGGGGACGCGGCTTCGCAGGGTGTTTCATATTTTTGTTGTTAGTCATGGTGACAAAATGTGTGGGCTGTGTTTTGTACCAATTAGCAATATGGTTGTAATTGAACACTTTTTTTTTTTTGCACCATAGAACATGGTATAGTGAAAGGTTAAAAAGACAGACAGGATACTAACCCGCCATTATTTTTTCTCAGGATAGTGATGACTGTGCTGGTCAAGGTTTTGCACTGAAAGTGTAAATCTGTCAATCAAATAATGCTCAAGTATTTTGGATGCATTAGCTTCTTTGGGACAAAAGAAACTAGCTTGATAATGATGTGAATTCCAATAATTAATGTATATTACACACATAAAAAGTGTGCTATTAAATGACTGATCTGATTAATTATATTGTAAGGCTTTACAATGTTTACTATGATAAACAGAATTCGTTCCCTATTAGTGAGTGATTCATAAATTTTCACTGCTTCCTCATAATTTTTGCTACTGTGCGATATGCCCTGATTACAGGGTAAGGGTCAAACAATCCTCACTTCTGTTGCTAACAAACAGAACAACAAAAGAAAATAAGTTTTCACTTCATGGAATATTTCACCACAGCAAAATAACTGGTGCTCAGCTGATGCTAATAATGACCCTAGTTACCCTGTACAGCAGTATTTATATGCATGCCTTTCTTGCCAGAAAAGCTTCAGTTTGAAGAACAAGCTATTCAACCATGAGGAGGTAGACTTATAGTTAACTTTTAACTCAAATCAAAGCTAAACATGATCCCAGAAGGAAGCCATATTGGTGTCAATATGGGTTTCCAATGGAGGGGCATTATTTAACCAGGCTAACAAAGCAGAGAAGGCCCCTTTCCATGTTCTTTCACAGACTGTTTTTATTGATTTTGATGTATATACTGATTGGCTTAATTGTTATAATTGCTGTTTACATGTTTTATCCATTGTTATGTTTATGCTGGCATCGAACTGTGCCTTTGTAAGCCGCCCTGAGTCCCCCCTCGGGGGTTCAGAAGGGCAGGGTAGAAATGCGTGAAATAAATAAATAAAATATGTTGTCCCAGTACCACACATCTCAACTTCTCTAACCGACCTGCAATATCAGGTGCATATAGGGCTTAAGAAGTCATTATGAATCGAAACCAAAAGTGTAAACTTTCAGAGGTTCAGAGTACACCCAAGATTTCCGATGACCCTATGAAAAAAATCTATAAATGCCCATTATGACCACTAGGAGATGGGAAAACAAACACCAACATGTCTTCATTTCCTATGCCTGTTTTAGGGATTGAGGGGTTTGTTTTCAAAACCAAAAGTGACAATATATCACTTCTGAGTTGAAAAAGCAGATGTTTCCACAAAAACATTGCAAATTGATTCATGAATCCCATAAATGAGTCTGATGTCCCCATCAATCATCAATCATCACTACACACTACATCAAGGACTCAGCCCACTTCATAGAAAAAAATCAGCAATCTCAAGCTAAATACAAATGACAAACTGATCAGCTTCGATGTGGTATCTCTATTTACCATGGTCCCGGTAGCAGACACCATGGCACTCATCAACCAGAGGTTCCCAGAAGACATCACGGCGCTGTTTCACCATTGCCTTACCACCAGTTACTTTCAGTGGGACAATGAATTCTACGAACAGAAAGATGGAGTAGCGATGGGGAGCCCTCTCAGCCCGGTCATAGCTAACTTCTACATGGAACACTTTGAAGAACAAGCCCTGGAGACAGCAACCAAAAAGCCCATGATATGGTTCAGATATGTGGATGACACCTTCACCATTGGGAGCCATGGAGAAGAAGAACTCAACAGGTTCCTGGACCATCTTAACAGCATCCACCCAAACATCCAGTTCACCATGGAAAAAGAAAATGAAGGAAGACTGCCTTTTCTAGATGTCCTAGTCATCCGCAAACCAGATCAACAATTGGGTCACACCGTCTACAGAAAACCCACACACACAGATAGATATCTACATAAAAACTCCAACCATCACCCAAGTCAAAAAAGAAGCACCATTAAAGCCTTGGCAGACCGTGCAAAAAGAATCTGCGAACCCCCACCTCCTCCAAGATGAACTGAACCACCTCAACTGGGCTCTACAGGCCAATGGATACTCCACCTCAGACATCAGAAGAGCTGCAAGACCAAGAACAAGCCACGAGAGTAAAGATGAAGATCCACCCAGAGGAAAAGTGTTCCTGCCATACATCAAGGGAACCACTGACCGCAGAGGGAAACTGATGAGGAAACACAACATACAAACAATCTACAAACCCACCAAGAAAATCCAACAAATGCTACGTTCAGCAAAGGACAAGAGGGATCCTCTCACCTCTGCAGGAGTCTACAGTATACCATGCAGCTGTGGACAAGTCTACATAGGGACCACCAAACGCAGCACCCAAACACGAATCAAGGAACATGAAAGGCACTGCAGACTACTTCAACCAGAGAAGTCAGCCATAGCAGAGCACCTGATGAACCAGCCTGGACACAGCATATTATTTGAGAACACAGAAATGCTGGACCACAACAACAACCACCATGTCAGACTACACAGAGAAGCCATTGAAACACAAGCATGTGGACAATTTCAACAGAAAGGAGGAAACCATGAACATGAACAAAATCTGGCTACCAGTATTAAAAAAACTCTAAAATTACAACAGCAAAACAACAGAGAGGAAACAACCAGGCACAGATTAACACCTCCCAGCAAGAGATTTTCCCAGGCTCAGGCAGGCCTTCAAATGCTAATGAAGGTGATCAGCTGAAACATTCACACCTAACTGCAGCAGGGAAGAGCTCCTTGCCCCACCCCAGCCATTCCACAGATATATAAACCCATTGTCCTAATTCCAACAGACCTCACTACCTCTGAGGATGCTTGCCATAGATGCAGGCGAAACGTCAGGAGAAATGCCTCTAGAACATGGCTCTATAGCCCGAAAAAACCCACAAGAACCTAATCATCAGATTATCTTAAGTGACAATTTCAGGGATGTAAGTCACTCACTGTTTGTCCTGATCGAAAGAACTGTTTCTTAAACTATGGGTCCCTTAGCTCAATGTTGGGGGTCCTGAAAAATTTGGGAACGGTAAAGTTTTTACAGTAGACTTGACGGAAGATGCTTCAGCTGAACTTCATAAAAAGGAAAATTAGTCTGCTTAGCAAGCCTAGGCAAATACTAATTTGTGAGCAGTAAATGTCTGGTTTTATGCCTATGTTTTATACCTATATACTTATGGGTCATGTAAACATCTTTCAGGACAAAAGGGGCCATAAGTAGAAAAGTTTAAGAAGCCTTGGTCTAAAGGTCTACCCCAAGTATTACATTATACATGAGTTCCAATGTGCCTCATATGTTTTTGCAACCAAGAGGTAACAACCTATATCTGCAACCTAAGGACATATTTGGCCAATTGTATTGTCTAGGTATAATCTATACAACTGGATACAATCATTATTATGGCGAAATGCAGTTGATAACTGTTCTGCACCATGGTTTTACTGACCCAAAGACAGCTGTTTCATAGCATGATACATAGTCCATTCACCTCAAAGTCAGTAATGAAGGAGCATACACACATTTACATATGAATGTTCAATCAGTAAGGACAGAAAATCTTTATAGGTGTGAAAAATTACACTGGGGACTTACCGTATATTCCGGCATATAAGACGACTGGGCGTATAAGACGACCCCCATCTTTTCCAGTTAAAATATAGAGTTAAGACGACTCCCATGCATAAGACTACACCCGCGTATAAGACGACCCCTGACTTTTGAGAAGATTTTCTTGGGTTAAAAAGTAGTCTTATACGCCAGAATATACTGTACATGCTATCACCATACTAACACAGATCAATACCTGCAGAGCAAATGAGAAAACTGAGTCCCAATAGATGGCAATGCCACTATCTATATATTACTGAATATGTCCCCAAGTTGTTTGGAAGGGGACTGTTTAAGAATTCAGCCAGTATTCAATTAAACTGTACCTAGCTAAATATTTCTAAAAAACACTAGCTGAAATAAAGTAGCACTATGTTTGCATATATATAATAATAATAAAAATAAAACTTTATTTGTACCCTGCTACCATCTCCCCAAGGGACTTGGTGCGGCCTACATGAGGCCAAGTCCACAGCACATCAATAAACACAGGCGATAACAAATAATCAATACAAACAGTTAAAATAAAAATTAAAAATAAAACAAAAAAACAAAAAATATACAATAATCAATAAACAATAAGAATAACATACAGCATTTAAAAACCTATTTAATTTAAATTTGGCCAGGCCAAATGTAATAATTCAATTTTAAAATTTAAAAATGCTGGGCATGAACAAGGTAGGGTAAACTAGGATAGGGTTTTCAAAGAAAGAAAAGGGCGCGCAGACAATCCTATTCAATATTAAAGGGCATTTGAGGACATATTGCTAAGAGTTTTCCTTATTATGGGAAGACTAAAGATATATATCTCAAACATTTCTAACTAACATGGTAGCATGATGCTTTTTTGTGACAAAGATTTGTTCTATACTTTTTTTTCATTCATTTGATCTCCAAGCATGGAGTATTTCTGGGTATCAAAAAGAAACTCTACATCTAAAATCATGAAAAGGTTCTTACAACTCTTTTTGGAATTTTTCAAGCAAGACTGATATAGAATCTTTAAAAGGCACATCTGTTTCCATACCAAAAAATACAATCCTCTAAATATGTAAGCTGTTAATCCTCTATGAATATGAAGCAGAAATGCACAAATATCAACTCTTGCTAGAACAGTAGTTCTCAACCTGTGGGTCTCCAGATGTTTTGGCCTTCAACTCCTAGAAATCCTAACTGGTTGGGATTTCTGGGAGTTGTAGACCAAAACACCTGGGGACCCACAGGCTGAGAACTACTGCAGTCTATGATAATGAGGGAAATATCTATTATTGTTTTTACCTAATCATTTACAATAAATTCATATCCAAGGATACTATTCAAAAACATGAGCAATTCTAGCTTGCATTTCCAGATGGATTGCATGCAACAGTAATCCTACAATGCATGCGGGGAAATAGCTCTGTGTGAATTGGTCCTTGTAGGTCATGAAGTCAGAGCATCAAGTAATGACTGAATGTAGGACAACAGTGCAACTACAAGAATTGGTACTCATTCCAGAGTTTAGACTGCTATTGCCATGTTTCCTACAATACTATGCCAAATGTAACATTGCATTATTAGCGGCTCTAGGCATTGTCTTCCTTAGCAGAAGCACAGCATCCCTTAACAGGTATCACCACATTTAACAGATGACAGAGACTCATTGAACTTTGTCTATAAAACAAGATAAAAGTACTTTAAATAAGTATATAGGCTATAAGGCACAAGGAGTTCAGCTGCGAGCTTCATAAGCCACTTGTCTGTCCAATGGATTGAAGTTCACTATATATAACATAAGATAGGATGCTACAACATTTTTTTCTTTCAAGTACACTGAATTAATGTTTTGATGGTTTTTAACTGTGATTTTTTAAATACTGTTTATATTTAATTTTGTTATAATGCTTGCATATTTGTATTTTTATGTTTAGCTGCAGACCAGCTTTGCGCTTCTTTCACCTTAATTAGAAGGCTCCTCAGCTCCTCCTCGCTTTCGGCCATCGAAGTGGTGTCATCTGCATATCTAAGGTTGTTAATGTTTCTTCCAGCAATTTTTAACCCAGTCTTGCATTCGTCAAGCCCCGCACATTGCATGTTCTGCATACAAGTTGATCCACACAGTTTAGAATAGTCAATAGAACAGAAATAGATGTTTTTCTGAAACTCCCTGCCTTTCTCCATTATCCAGCGAATATTGGCAATTTGGTCTCATGTTCCTCTGCCTTTTCGAAACCCAGCTTGTACATCTGGCAACTCTCTCTCCATGTATTGCTGGAGTCTTCCTTGCAGGATCTTGAGCATTACCTTACTGACATGAGAAATAAGGGCCACTATATGAAAGTTTGAGCAGCCTTTAGCATTTCCATTTTTTGGTATGAGGATATAAGTTGATTTTTTCCAGTCTGATGGCCATTCTTGTGTTTTCCATATTTACGGGAATATGGCATGCATCACCTTAACAGCATCATCTTTCAAGATTTTAAACAGTTCAGCTGGGATCCCGTCGCCTCCTGCTGCCTTGTTGTTAGCAATGCTTCTTAAGGCCCATTCAACCTCACTCCTCAGGATGTCAGGTTCTAATTCACTCACCATACTGTCAAAACTATCCGCGATATTATTATCCTTCCTATACAGATCTTCTGTAGTCTCGCCACCTTCTCTTGATCTCTTCAGCTTCTGTTAGGTCCCTGCCATCTTTGTTTCTTACCATGCCAATTTTTGCCTGAAATTTACCTCCAATGTTTCTAATTTTCTGGAAGAGGTCTCTTGTCCTTCCTATTCTGTTGTCTTCTTCCACTTTTATGCATTGCTTGTTTTAAAATAGTATCTAGTTAATAATAGTATCAAAAATGGTATCTAGTACGTATCAAAATAAAGAACATAGGTCAGCAAGCTGAATGTTTTGAAGCTTACTCAGAGAATAAATTAATAAGCCATGGTTATTCCTAATAATATGTGATGTCTGCTATCCTCTTTTGAGTTAATCGTAGTATTCTACACAATCCAAGCCACAGGAACCTAAACATTAAGAAATTTCACTTGGTCATCTTAACCATTCTTGCTCGCTACTATTACCAATGAGCAGATATTAGAATATTCTTAGAATCTTCTTACTCACCGTTAAGTTTCCTCATTCTTTAAGTGGTTGCCCCTTACTTCTTAAAGATGACCATGAAACCTGTATGTTCTGTGTATCACATCTCTGAAGCAATCATAGGAAGATAGCTTGCCATAAAACAAAGCACAGAAAGAAGTTATAACAATACTTCCAATACAAAGTTATTTGTGCAACATATACAAGGCATAACATTTCACTGAGCCATAATAGAGAATTAGCAAGTAACCTGGGGAGATGACCTTGAATACAATTGGGGGGTACCTCTGTTTAATAAAAAAAATCAATTAAGGCAGGAGATCTCACAATTTCAAGCCCCTTGCTCACATTATTTTTGTGGTGCTGACCTCCTGCTTCAATTTCCCTAGACTCTACTAAAAACAGAACAACAGTAAATTGCATTTCCTGGAAGCCTCCAGAAGTGACAATTAACCTGTTAGTTACATTATAAGGCCACCTTGCATTGTCTGACATTAAAAATAAAAAAGGTTTTCCAGAAATATTCATATTTAGTTATTTGTGTTTCTTTAGTTCTTGGTATTTCACAGTCCATGCAGCCCCCAGCGAAGAAAAGTGAATCTCAGACACAATAATGTTTCCTTCCTTTGTTTAATGAAAGACATTAAACATTATTTACTGGGCCTCTGACATGCCCCAGGACAATAGTGAGCATCCATCTCAATTTTCACATCAGAAATTGCAGCAGACATTGTAGTTCTATCAAAATACATAATTTAATTTCAGCCTGCAATATATTACCAATATGACTTATCAGTTACAAGTGTAATCCCCAATTACAAAAAAACAAAAAAACCCTTTACATTCTGTGGTTCATTTGTTTAGTTATTACACAGGACTAATTTTGCACATATTGATAGTGCCTCAAAGTGATGACCAAACTTAGTGTTCTTTGCACCTTCTACTGGGTGGGCAACCCATCTAGTCTGCTGGACTGTACATCTAAATAAACAAATATATATTTCTCAGAGAGAGAGAGGGATTTTAATAAAAGAATACACCTACATTATCTGTTGTAGAAGTAGATAAATATTAGCACATCTGTTCTGCTGCCATGATGAGTCAGAGCATCTAGATATTCACTGTCCCTGAAAGCAGTCAAGACGATGCCAGGGCGAAGCTACCAGGCATGCTGGGGGTACTGATGACTGCTCCCTTGCTGTTTGTTCTAATATCTAGAGCAGGGGTGGCAAACTTATTTTCACCGAGGGCCATATAAGCCTGATAGTTGCCTTCAAAGGACAGTTTGCAATTGCAAGTCTAAATAAATATTAACTATTTTGCACTGGCATTGAAAACTTAACAGGCCACATAAAATAACATGGTCTGTCTGGATTCAGCCCATGGGCTTTGCATTTGACACATGTGATCTAGAAATATTGAAGCTGGCTACTTCTAAATGTGGAGGATTCATGCTCAATTATTGCACCTAATACCAATGACAGATTTGACTTTGCACTATTATTTTTAAAATCACATGTTCCTAGTAAAAGTATTCAATTGCATTTTTAAAAGATAAATATAATTTGGGCTCATGAGCTCCTTCAAGTAGTGGTTGGTTGCAAGGAGTTCACATTTCATTATACTTTATACTGTATCAGCAAGAAAATGCATTTTTCCTCAGGTAATGCAGCAGGTGCAAGAACAAGAATGGCTGTGTTTATGTCAGTGCAACCTACAGTTTAATGCTCATACTTCATAGATATCAGGTAATGCAACACTACTTGCCTCATGCCTCCTTTTTGTCCCCACTATTATTTTGAAATATTTTAATCCACATTGTACACTATGTCCCTCATAACCAAGACCAATACCTATGATACTGCAATCAACATTTTACATTTATTGGCTGAGCATTTTTACACTTTTATCATTGCAGTAGCAGATCTCTTTGACACAACAATATCTCAACTAGTCACCTGTAGCTCTTAAGGATCTCCCCTGTACTACCAAGAAGGCTAGGAATACAGAGGTTTTAATGCTCCCTTTTCTCCTGTCACAAAGAACTACAATAGGTGTGTACATGTACAGGTGTCTACAGGTTTACTTATGTGAGCTTAAGTTTTTGTTTACACAGGTACTAAGAAACAAAACAAGTTAAGGGGCAATTACAAAACAGACTAGACTGCTTACTGACTTCTCCATGCTGCAATGATGGCCCATATTTCATTGTCCTTTAATCTACGGTGAAATAACAACTCCTGCTGCAGAAAAATGTACACTTCCATCTTGAGTTATGATAAAAAAGATAACATAGTAAAACTACAGAAACACCTATAGCTTAATAATCTGCAACTGTTTTGAACAGTTCTGCCTCTCCAGGGTATATATAATGCTATATACCACAGCAAATTGTATATCACAATAAAAACCATCTAAAATCCAGCAAGATGTTTTGGCACACTGGCAAGATCTTGCTATCACTCAATATTTTCTATTTCCAAAGCTGCCAAAATCAAAGCAGCAGCATCATCATACTGCAGTCATCAGACAGAGAAGACATGCCAAAGAAAGCAGCCACTATTACACATCACTTACTTGCAAGAGTAACAAGGCAATAATTGTGAACTACCCACATCCCTGTTATACAAATACAGGAGCAGGTGTGGCATTTCTAAGCAACCTGAAAGCAACCGCCAAAACAGACAAAAAGTTCTACCACACATGTAGGAATACAGAAAAGATCACACCCATCACACATTTTCTCCCTATCTCTAATACAACAGTGCAGAAGTGCAGAAAACCATATCTGTATCCAATCAAATAAATCAAACCAAAACAGGCTAAAATAGTATGTCCACCCTTGCAAGTGGAAGCAATGTTACTGTTAAGGCATTTGATCCTTACCACTAAACCATACAGTGGTTTAGTGGTGGCTCTCCATCTTTCCCTACCATCTTCATCTCATTTCCAAAGTCATAGTACCTTCTCAAGCCAGACTAACAGATATGATAAATGTAGTGGGCACTAATGTTACTTATAAAGCTATATACGGGTGAGTAGAATTGATAACTACAGTTATAAACACACACAGACAGTGTGTCTACAAAAAAACTATACACCGTTAATAATAACTTTATTTATAACCCCGCCACCATCTCCCAAAAAGGACTTGGGGCAACTTACACATACAAGTATTGTAACACATAAAAACAGAGGTAAAATTACATCTGCATATTAAACAATAACATCAATTAAGATATAAAAAACACATTACAAAAGTCAAATTTATCAATCAATAAAACACAGTACCAATTACCATTAAAACGAATAGTAAGGATCCTAACCACAGCCCAATTCAGCCATTAAAGTGCCAGTGTCAATATTAAATTGTTTGGTTCTTAGATTAGTAGATCTCTTAATCATTCCCAAAAGCCTGCCTGAAGAGGAATGTTTTCAGCTCCTTGCGAAAACATTGTAATGTGGGGGCAAGCATGATATCCACTACTGCAAAGGACCTATCTCTTGTCTCCACCAGTCACACTTGAGACTGAAGTGGGACTGAGAGGAGGGACTCCCTGGCAGATCTTAGACCCCTCTGTTAAATGCTTATATCTCTAGATTATTATCATTAATTCTTTTCAAAACTGTATACACCTTTAACAAGATTAAATATTCCTATATTTGAGAAATGTTGTGAAATGGCAAGATAAACTTTTGTGTGAGGTTTGTAACTGTGTACTTCAACAATGCAATGGGATGACAATTTGGACATGTTATATGAAACTGGGATTTGAAATGGCATTTGTAACTTTGATGAAACCATTATGACAGTAGCTATTCTTCAATATAAACATATTTACTTAACCTTGAAATAAGAACAACTATGTTGAGCATCTATAATCAGGAATTCCAAAATACTCCAACATTACCCATAGGGATGGCTGAGGACCCATCTACACTGAATATTTAAAGCAGATCAAAGCTAGCTTCAAACTGTGGCAGCCAGACAACAAACTTCCATGAAAACATGAAAGAGAACCCTTAAAGCACATCAGCGATCACCATCCAGATCTCAAACAAGTTCCAGGATTTCCTACAGATCTCCAGAGCAGTATCATTTACTTCAATAGTGGTTTGAAAATGCAATAAATGGTCAACATACATGTGCCCTGCTTAGAGAGACTGATAACTTTGCTTTCTGACAGTTCCATGTAGCCAAACTTTGTTCCATGCACAAAAATCTTGAAAATACTGTATACAATCACCTTTGATCTATCGTATCAGGTGTATATGAAACCCAAATGATTGCTGTGTCTTAATATGTATCCCCCCCCCCAAGTCATTATGAACCAATATCAGGCATGGGCAAACTTTATCCCTCCAGGTGTTTTGGACTTCAACTCCCACAATTCCTGTGGGAGCTGAAGCCCAAAACTTCCGAAAGGACAAAGTTTGCCCATGCCTGACCTATATGTATATCGAGATATTTCCAAAATTACACTTGATGATTTGACCCAAATGGACAGATTAATGTGGCTTCTAAAGATACCAGTATGCCAGATGAAGACTTTCTGAAGGCTGGAAAAATGCATAGATACGGCAACAAAGACAAACTCTAATGACACAATTAAGCTGTTGTTATGGCTTTTACCAACTTTAGTGAGATTATGTATTAGATATGTGTTGGTGGAATAATCATTTTTCTTTTCTTGTTTTTTATCCTCCCCTCTCTTATATTTTTGAAAGTGTATTATTTTGTGGTAATATAGATTGCTGGTATTAAATATAATAAATAAATGAATAATATTGGGGGGAGATATTTCCAAAATCCAAAACACTTCTGGTCCCAAGCATTCAACTTGTATTAGATAATATAGGGAGGAGGGGAATGCCCTATATTTATTTAAAAAATGTATCAGCATTGCTAACACTGTATCAGTAGTAATACTGATAGTATTATAACACATCAGTATTATAATATATTGCAGCGTAATTTAATATAATTTAATAATGTAGTATTGTGTGTGTGTATATATGTATATGCATGTGTGTATGTGTGTGTGTGTGTGTGTGTGTGTATATATATATATATATATATATAATATCCTATATTGAGAGTCCCCAGTGGTGCAGTGGGTGAAACCCCTGAGCTGCTGAAGTTTGGGGTTCGAATCCGGGGAGCGGGGTGAACTCCCACTGTTAGGCCCAGTTTCTGCCAACCTAGCAGTTTGAAGACATGCAAATGTGAGTAGATCACTAGATACCGCTTCTGCGGGAAGGTAATGGCGCTCCATGCAGTCACATAACCTTGGAGGTGGCTATGGACAATGCTGGCTCTTTGGCTTAGAAATGGAGATGAGCACCAACCCCCAGAGTCAGACACAACTAGACTTCATGTCAAGGGGAAACCTTTACCTTTTCATCCTAGTACAGTATATTACAATACAGCATAACTTAAAATAGCAATGAGTAATATACACACATGGGCAAGCTTCGGCCTTACATGTCTTAGGCATCCACTCCAACCCCGGGGCCCCAATTTCTTTGTAACCCAACACCCTTCCTCCCCATATTCAAGTATTATTCCTGTGCATTATTTACTGTTAACCGTCCACCCCTTCTATGCAATGTTTTCGCAATTGTAGGAGAAGACATGGCCAAACTTCGGCTCTCCAGGTGTTTTGGACTTCAACTCCCACAATTCCTAACAGCCTACCTTGTGGGAGTTGTAGTCCAAAACACCTGGAGGGCCGAAGTTTGGCCATGCCTGAGTAGGAGACACATCAAGTTTCAGAAAAGAGGGAGGCAAACCCCACTCGGCCAGTCTCCTTTCACCTCCGAGCCCTGAGAGAGAGAAAGGCAGGCAGGCAGGCAAGCGTCTCAGCACAACCCCTCCTTGCGGCTCCTCCACGGCCCACAGCCCTTTCCCCGGGAGAAAAGGAGCCCCTGGGCCTCACCGCTCGAAGGGGGGCCTCTTCCCGGAAGACCATTTCGCGCCCTCCCGGAGAAAAGGGCCCCCTCCCCGTTGGCGTCTGCCGAGGAGGCTGAGGGCGGCGGGAAGGGAAGGGGCGGGCGAGAGGCGGCCGGGGAAAGCCTTTCCGGGATACAGGCTCCAGCGCCCGCCCCGTCTCCAGCCGCGCAGGGCGGCCTGGCCAAAGAGGCGGAGGCGGAAGTAGGCAGGCAGGCAGGCAGGGAGGGAGGGGAGGGGCCACCCGAGGCAAGCCCCGCCTCCTCCGCCCCTTCACAAAGCGGCCGCAGCTGGAGCGGAAGCACGGAGGGGGGAAAGCAAGCCAGCCAGCCAGGAAGGCAGAGGCATCGCTGAGGCGGCCTCGCAGGCGTCACTTCCTCTTTGCGGTCGAACTCCCACTTCCGGGGCAGCAGGGATAGTGAAAGAACATAGGCGGCCAGCCAAAGGCGCAAAGTACAAGTGGAGCATCGCTTTCTGTCCTAAAGACTCCCGAGTTGGACACGTGAATAATAATAATATATAATAATTCATATAATCTATCTATATAAATAAAAATGTAATGTTCGTTTGTGGGATTAACATAACTCAAAAATCACTGGATGAATTGACACCAAATTTGGACACAATACACCTATCAGGCCAACGAGTGTCCATCACCCCTAAAAACACAAAAAACCCCAGCAGAACGGACTTTAAAATCCCCCCAAATAAACCATATATACATCGTATCTATATATAAATGCTCTGTGCATAATGAGTACCTTAAAAACAAAAGAACCAATGAATGAAATCACACCAAATTTGGCAACAAAACGTCTTACAACACAAGGAGTGACCATCACTCAAAAATATGATTTTTGTCATTTGGGAGTTGTAGTTGCTGGGATTTATAGTTCACCTACAATCAAAGAGCATTCTGAACTCCACCAACAATGGAATTGAACCAAACTTGGCACACAGTTCTCCCATGACCAACGGAAAATACTGGAAGGGTTTGGTGGGCATTGACCTAGTTTGGAGTTGTAGTTCACCTACATCCAGAGAGCACTGTGGACTCAAACAATGATGGATCTGGACCAAACTTGAAATGAATACTCAATATGCCCAAATGTGAACACTGGAGTTTGGGGGAAATAGACCTTGACATTTGGGAGTTGTAGTTACTGGGAGTTATAGTTCACCTACAATCAAAGAGCATTCTGAACCCCACCAATTAGGCAAAATTCCCACACAGAACCCCCATGACCAACAGAAAATACTTAAGGCCATCCAGTCCAACTCTCTTCATCAGGGCAAGAAAATGTAATCAGAGCCCTCCTGACAAAGAGCCATCCAGCCATAGATAGAGATTGATCTATATGATTCACACACCCACACACAGATATAGTATCATAGATGTGAAAGAGACCCTTAAAGAAGGACTATGATATGTTGCATTTTCCAGAGTAGGCAAACCAGACAATCTCCACATCAACACTGACAAAGAAACAATACTGTTTACCCACACGCATAAAGAAATTACATTTATTAGAAAACCACATTTTCACATTACTTTATTTTCCAGATCACCAGACTGGGCCACAGCAACACGTGGCAGGGGACGGCTAGTATATAATATATTGTATATACATATAGTATTGATGATAATATAATGTAATACAATAAAGCGAGGAGGAGCTGGGGAGCCTTCTAATCAAGGTGAAAGAAGAAAGCAAAAAAGCTGGGTTGCAGCTAAACATCAAAAAAAACAAGATTATGGCAACAAGAATGATTGACAACTGGAAAATAGAGGGAGAAAACGTGGAGGCCGTGACAGACTTTGTATTTCTAGGTGCAAAGATTACTGCAGATGCAGACTGTGGCCAGGAAATCAGAAGACGCTTACTTCTTGGGAGGAGAGCAATGTCCAATCTCGATAAAATAGTGAAGAGTAGAGACATCACACTGGCAACAAAGATCCGCATAGTTAAAGCAATGATATTTCCCATAGTCACCTATGGACGTGAGAGCTGGACCATAAGGAAGGCTGAACGAAGGAAGATTGACGCTTTTGAACTGTGGTGTTGGAGGAAAGTGCTGAGAGTGCCTTGAACCACCAGAAGATCCAACCAGTCCATACTTCAGGAAATAAAGCCCGACTGCTCATTGGAGGGGAGGATAGTAGAGGCAAAGATGAAGTACTTTGGCCACCATGAGAAGACAGGAAAGCTTAGAGAAACAATGATGCTGGGGAAAATGGAAGGAAAAAGGAAGAGGGGCCGCCCAAGGGCAAGATGGATGGATGGTATCCTTGAAGTGAATTGGATTGACCTTGAAGGAGCTGGGGGTGGTGATGGCCGACAGAGAGTTCTGGCGTGGACTGGTCCATGAAGTCACGAAGAGTCGGAAATGACTGAACGAATCAACAACAACAACAATATACTACTACTAATAAAATGATATTATTATTATTATTTTGTTGTGTCAGGAGCGACTTGAGAAACTGCAAGTCGCTTCTGGTGTGAGAGAATTGGCTGTCCTGCAAGGATGTTGCCCAGGGGATGCTTGGATGTTTTGATGTTTTACCATCCTTGTGGGAGGCTTCTCTCATGTCGCTGCATGGGGAGCTGGAGCTGATAGAGGGAGCTCAATAATATATTATAATACATTATAATTATATATTTTATATTAAATGTAATATTACTAATAATATTACAGTATAATGTTATAGTACAATGTAATATATAATATTAATATTGTGCTATGATAATAATAATAATAATAATAATATAATATATTGTATTTACTTTTTACTTGTAAGCTGCTCTGAGTCCCCTTCGGGGTGAGAAGGGCGGCATATAAATGTCGTAAATAAATATAATAATAATAATAACAACAACAACAACAACAACAATTTTATTTACACTTCGGGGCAGAGAGTTCCACTGCTGAACAGCTCTTACAATTAGGAAGTTCTTCCTAATGTTCAGTTAGAATCTTCTTTCCTGCAATTTGAAGCCATTGTTCCGCAGGGCAGCCGAAAACAAGCTTGGTCCCTTCTCTCTATGACTTCCCCTCACGTGGCCATCATGTCTCTTCTCATGCTCAGCTCTTTAAGTCGCTCCTCACAGGGCTTGTTCTCCAGACCTTTGATCATTTTAGTTGCCCTCCTTTGGACACTTTCCAGTTTGTCAACATCTCCCTCAAATTGCTGTGCCCAGAATTGAAAACTGTATTCCAGGTGTGGCCTGATCAAGGCAGAAGAAGGTAAAGAGGGGGTAGCATGACTTCCCTGGATCTAGACACTGTACTCTTATTTATACAGGCCAAAATCCCATTGGCGTTTTTAGCTGTCGCATGACATTGTAGGTCATCTTTAACTTGTTGTCCATGAGGACTCCAAGATCTTTTTCACACGTACTGCTGTCGAGCCAAGCATCTCCCATTCTGTATCTTTGCATTTCATTTTTTTTCTGCCTAAGTGGAGTATCTTGCATTTGTCCCTTGATGCGATGGGGGCAGAATCTATCAGGAGAAGAAAGGACAGCTCTCCTAACTATGAGCTTTGAGTTGAACTGTGCCTGCATTTTGAAAATTACCTTGTTGATTGTTTTTCAGTGCAGGTTTCTTTGCTGACAATACTTTTCCTAACTGATTGGCACCAGGCATGTAGTAGCCGGGGGGAGGGGGAGGGGGGCTTGGGGGGGCTTTAGCCCCCCCCCCCGAAATTCTCATGGTGGTCCGCGAGAAGGCCTTACTGGTACATTATTTAAACTGTTATGTTTATTCATATCATGATCTGATCACCATGCTCAATATATCTCATATGCATGGGGTATTGGGGTAACGATACAAAAGGTTTGCTAGGGTAGACCCTCTTTCACTCAGACTCAGCCCCTCCCCCCTCCCCCCGAATCAAAATCCTGGCTACGGGCCTGATTGGCACCATTGAGAGGAGGTAGGATCAACGTGTAAAAATACTTTATAAGAATGCTTTAGATTATTTGTTGCATTTCCTAGAATACCTCTCCTTGATCACATTTCAGGTCACAAACGCAGTTAGAAAACACTGCAATAAATGAAATAGAGTTCAATTTGGAGGCTTCCTTATATGTTTCAGTACCTGTGTGTAAATGTAAAGAGCAAAGATTGCAGAACAGCTACTATCATTGGAATATCCTTTCTTGTAATTTGGTTTTGATTCTCTGAATCCTATGCTTGAAAACTTATGGAACATGGAAAAATCATCTTCCACCTCTTAGAAAGGCTGAGATGATTTATGGTTGTATTACCACTTATCTAATTTTAAAGGAACAGGTAGCATGAATTGTCAAGACTGTACTTTCCCAATTTACTATCATTTACTTCCTGCCCTTCATTACATTTCTCCAATTTTTTGTTCTAGAGCTCTGGAACATGGCCATGTAGCCCGAAAAAACCTACAACAACCCAATGATAAAAATTGTTTAGTCTTTTTAAGATTGTCAACCCTCTTTTGCTTTCCATGCAACAGACTAAGGGATCATCTACATTGTAGAATTAATGCTTCTTGACACCACTTTAACTGTCATGGCTCAGTGCTGTGGAATCCTGGGAGTTGTAGTTTGATGAGGCACCAGCACTCTGACAGAGAAGGCTAAGGACCTTTTAAAACTAGAGCACTCAGGGCCCATAGCACTGAGGCATGTCAGCTAAAGTCGTGTCAAACTGCATTAATTCTGCAATGTAAATGCAGCCTACAATGGCTGGAAATGGCAGCTCTGTGATGAATTGTAACCATTCCAAATTTCTGAAAAATCTCCTAAAGTTATGAATCCTGGCAAGAAAATTTATAAATTCTTTCATTATGATTAGCTTAAATCACTGCACAGTCAAGGCAAGGATAATCCATGGTGCTGTATTTCTATTTTTTATGAATAGTTGTGAATGCTGAACAGTGAAGAAAGCTGATAGGAAAAGGACCTATTCAAATGTGGTGCTGAAGGAGAATTCTGTGGATACCATGGCAGTAAAAGGGTTAAAGAGCACATCTGTCTAGAAGCCAGGAGCCCTTGGTGGTGCAGTGGGTTAAACCCCTGCTCCAGCAGGACTGAAGACCGACAGGTTGCAAGTTCAAATACATAATGAGCTACCTTTGAGAAGAGACCCAGGATGAGACCCTTACACACTTAGCCTGAAGGTAATTTTACACACAAGGTTTTCAGTTTTGTGCAGGAGACGAAGTTTGTGTATA